ATGACCACATCAATCCAGTCATTTGTTACAATTTTGAATCCCACACATGAATTTCTGCAGGCTCAAAAGGGACATTTCAACCAATAATCAGCGAGAATCAAACCCCTGGTGTTCGTTAAGCACCCAGACGTTAGCAAACATGAATCATTATAAAGATCCTCAAGATTTTTTTTCGTACAAACAGATTTTCCAATAAGCTGAACGATCTTAGCGAATATACAACCTCAGCAAGATCTACAGACCCAGTTTGCTCACCCAGTGAATACAAAGCAAACTATCTGGAAGACGTCTGGGCAGACTCCTCATAATAAAAAATAAAGCGAATATTGAGTGTCTATTTTAAACGTCTCATAAAAAGAGGCTGCACGCTTTAAAACGTGGAGGGGATAGTCATTTAGCCTGCAAAACTCTTATTTTGTCCGAGTCTATAGTTTTGGATACTTTACCAGATTCCTGACTCTTTGCCAACCTGAAACTAAAGTTTGACTAAATTGAATCCAATTGAATATTGTGTAGTTTTTGTCTTCGAAGTTCTCAAAGCATCGAGTTGACTCATTATGTCATGGTGAAGAAAAGTACGTGGTGCACGGTTATTCTTTCATTTTGGACTGCATCGGGTGTCTTTAAAGAGTAAATAAGGCAATTTGTTACAGGATTTGACTATGTACAAAGTACGAGCGGATAGCTTGACATGCTTAGCTTTGTACTGCAGAGTAAATGGTGTAGCTGTATGTACTACCTTTTGACTGATAACAAAACAGAAATATAAGTTTTATTTACAAAGTTCGATGTAAGCTTTAAAGAAACAACTCTCATCTATATCGGGACGTCTTCATTGTAAGCTGTGGTACTACTACTTGTGACGTACGACATTTTCTTTTTCTACATTGTACCCGCTCAAACTACCTGACCGAAACGCACGGACTTCCACAGCATCAAACTCTATACTAAGATGTTAGAATCTTCCGGTGAGCACAAGCAACACCTTAAGAACGTACCAAGTCTACGAAGCTCTGCATCAATGACGTCAAGATGACTTTTTGACATTTCTAACGCTTCGGCATCAAGCTCTTTCAATTAAACTGAATGAGAAAGCTAGTAATAATAAAATGCAATCACCTGGTTATACTTACCAACAGCAGCTTTATTACGTGCAAGAAATCGCACACGCATGCTTCGATGCGATTTCAGATTCAGTAATTTTCGAATAACGTGCTCAGCTTTCTCAACTCGCCGCAGATGTTCCTTACAATTCGATCTCAGTCTTAAGTTTCACAACTACAATATTAATAAGAACTCACCTTTGTCGCTTTCACTCCAAACTCCAATCTTGACCTTAAACAAGGTGATGCCGCTGCATTCCAATTCGGCAATCCCAAGTATTTCGCTACATCTCGCACCTCGCTTTTAGTAAGTTCGCAAAGCGGACTTACTACTTGAAACTCTGTTGCTGCAACCAATCCTACCACATTGAGCATAAATCAGTACATTTCTACATGTAGTTTTTCAATTGATAAAATGTACCAATTCTGGTAGGATCAAGCAGATCATCAGCATTTGTCCCATTATATAAAACAGGTTTTATTCGAGCTTCAGTTTGTTGTTGCAATTCATCCCACGCAAATGCTGCCACTTGTTGCAGTGTCGAGTACAATGTTGTCTTGCAATAATAGCAACTTTTGCCTTGATTCGCAACGTAGTCTTCAAATTTTACTTCGTTTGTGTGACATTCCCATAATCTAATTCCAATATGAGACGCAATTTCTCGAGCTTGTTCGAGTTGCACTGAAGCTAAAGCTGGAGAACGTCCAATACATGCAGCACTTGATTCTGGAAACACTTGATGTACCAAAGCAGCTACTAATGACGAGTCAATGCCGCCAGAGAACGCCACTACGTTAGTTATTGGCTGTAATTGACCTGGCGCTTGGACCCCTTTGGAGGCCACAAGCCGCAGCAAACGGTCCACTTTTGTTGCAAGCATAGGAGAATCTATATTCATACTACCGGACAGCTTATATAGAATGAGAAAGGTCTTTCTATATTACTAATTTATTTGAAACAATCAAAATGGTGCTTTGATGAATTATAATGGTTTCAACCTTTGGTTACATGCTGGATCGAAGCGTGGGACTACCGTCCCGCGCGTACCACGACGAGATATATTCCCGACAATCGTTCAAATTACTACAACATCCACCTTCAACAAGTAATTATATCTTTCGTGAGGGAATGCGCGTTTGGAGCATGTCATTAGATCCAGTGGAGCAGCGTTTTCTATTAGTTGGGACTTCTCGGTCCCAACTTTTGGTATTTGATTTGTATACACTCGATGAAGTCAATGCAATGGATACCCCTATCTATTCCGTTACCAATCCATTTGACCCAATTTGTGTAACCCAAGCCAAAATTGCGTCAACAGAATGTTTGCAATTTGGAATCACTATGGTTGATTGGTACCCTGTGGACAGTGGGTTATGCCTTTCAAGTTCCTTGGATAACCATGTTATCATCTGGGATTTCGAAACTTTTACTTGTGTGAGTTCATTTAATTTAAATAGTAAAGTTTTTGGAGCAAAGTTCTCGCTTGGTAGTACAACAAATTCAATAATTGGTGCTGTAACTTCGAAAGGAGAAGTTCGACTTATTGATATGGAGAGTGGAACCACAGCACATACTTTATTTGGTCATCAAGATGAAATTTGGACTTTAGATTGGTCTCCAACAAGTGAATTTGTACTTTGCACCGGTTCAAAAGATGGTGAATTACGTCTTTGGGATATTCGACGATCAGGAGCAACAGCGTGTTTATTGTGTTTGAATCATGAAGGCAAAGCTAATGTACCAGGTCGATCAAGTTTGTATACAAATGTGAAAAATGAAAATCCCATCACATTATCAACTGCTGCTAAAGCGAGGAAAAGAACAAGAGTGGATGGAGCAGATATTATAGAAGCCAGAGATAGACAACGAGCTCGAACGAATATTCAGGAGAAATTAAACATTTTAAAGCATCACAAAAAGCGAAATGATCCACATGCTGCAGCGACTTCAACGTTGGCTATTGCACACTTGAATGGGATTACAAGCTTATCATATACTCCAAATGGACAATTTCTAGTGAGTCTTGGGATGGATCAAAACCTTCGTTTATGGAACTCATCATCAGGTGAACATCAATTTATGAATTATGAAGGAATACAGCAAGCACGACTACGAGCTGCAAGAAATGTACAAATGGCTGTATTTCAAGAAGGAAATGCATGGGAGGGTACCCTTGTAATTACTCCAAATGGATCGGATGGTGCTATATCTTCATATCGAGTGTTTGGAGACAGTGGCAGACCATTAGGGACTGCTACAGCTCATTATCAACAAATTACTGCTTGTTTGTATCGTCAAACCATGCGTGAACTTTACTCAGCTGGTGAGGATGGACTTATTATGAGGTGGAAGCCACCACCGGTTGATTTATATCCTTACAAATCTGACGACACTATTGGTATCAATAAGCGAATACCAGAGGACGAAACAAAAGCAAGTATTGATGCTTTTAATGATGAAGATGCTTGGAGTGAGGATGAGGGAGAAGAAACTACAGCTCAGTCATTTATACCTCCCATATTACGAGATGAGATATAGAATAAATAGAATGTTTGAATAAAATGACTTGTAAATCATCGAATCGAAGTTATTTTCAGCAATTGGTTTCTGTTTGTCTATAATGTCAGCGGAGTCTGTGCCAGGTAGCAAGTCGTTGCTTAGTGCTGTCGATCTCTTTGGAAAGACTGATGCTGGAGGAGTTGAAAAATTCAAAGCAATCGCGTTCCGTGCACTTCATGAGCAAAAACTTGATGAGGAATTAAAACAAACAAAGCAAGAGAATGAAGTTTTGAAAGATGCAAATGCTCGATTAGCGCGTGATTTGAAAGAACTTCAGATATCATTTGATGCCAACATTGACGATCGAGAGCGTGTGCTTGCGTTTAAATCCAAACGCATTGAGGAATTACATAGCAAATTACATGAATGTGAAATCATTAATGCGTTATTTATGGAAGCAATCAATGGAAAAAGCTCGGAAAGTGATCTTAGCACTAGCAATGTTCAAAGCAATAGTACGACTTTCAATCACTCTATAGTAGGATCAGTGGCATTAGATACGGATACACGCACAAAGATGATGGCGTTAATAACTGCAGGAAAACCTGTGTTTCATGCTTGTGATACATGCAAAGAGCAGGAGTATAAACAACTTTATGAAGAATCGCAGCGAAAATTGGATCAATTAGTTCAAACTTCTCTTGAGCATGAGACTGTTTTCCACGAAAACCGACTTGCCGAGTTTCACAAGCGAGACAGTGACATTCAGATTGAACAGCTTCAAGCTCAGATCGTAGCTATGACATTGGAAAAGAATGAATCAGGCCATCACTTTGAGCGAAAATTACTTCTTGAACAAGATAAAGTGCGACAGGAGAAAGAGAGTGAGATCGAAGCTTTGCATGAAATGATGCGTGCACAAATGCTTGTGCAATTGGATGTGACGACACAGCGCACTGTCGAAGAAAATGAACGAGTACAACTTGAGTTACGCTATCAGAGTCTTCATCTTGAAAAAATGATGAAACGAATTGACACATTAGAAGATGAAAATAAACACATGAAGCAGGAAAGACATTTGGTGGAAGAAATCAATACAGGATTAAGTAAGAAAGTGAAGGTTTACGAGCATCTCTTATCAAAAACGCAGCAGAGTGACAATCAATGGTCAATGCAAGTTGACAGTCAAGAGCAATTGACTGAAAAGCCACCTATTGGACCATTATCATCGCGACGAATTCCTCGAAAGCCACCAATTCCTGCCTTGTCATTGAGAAATTCAAAGCTTAAGTCACCCGACGTCCCATCCTCATGTAGCCTAGAATCACCCAATGGCTCATACTTTTTACCCGAAATCAACAGTTATCAGACTACGAAGTCTTCTCTAATCACTGAGTTTCAAAGTCCGTGTCAGCTTAACGATATCACCGACATTCTTGACAAACATTTACAAACTCGTGAGTTTACCAAAAAACAAGTTGTGGCTGCACTAAGATATCACCATGATCAGTATCGTTGCCGAGATAGTGTAAGTATGTGATTGATTGGTCATTGTTTTAGTACTCATCGAAATGTATAGCCGAACGTAGCTCGCAATATGAGAATGGGAACGGCGTTAAAGACGAAGAGAAAGCTGATGGTATCAAAAGTGTGCTACCTATCGACAAATCATGGACGTCGAATGAGAGAACCACCAGTACGTTTCGTTTTGATTTGATCGAATGCATTAGTTTAATTTTACCACGTTCTTTGTCGTGAAATTGATAAAGATCACACTCGACTCACTTATCAAGTATAAGCTACAGTCAAGTTCTTTAAGCGCTGAAAGCACAGATTCAAATCATGTTAAATTTAACGAAGAGCAACGCCAAAAATTACACGATTTGTTACTTCCAGACCAAGGGAGGAACAAACAAAAAGACAAGCCTACACAGTCGTTGATAGCAGGAGATTTGTCGGAAGTGTGGAAAAGGTCACGATCTAGGTGGCAGGATGACCGTTTAGGGCGAGATCCACCTGCTACGTCTAGATTCTGACGACAAGAATTTATGTAAAGTGAAGAATGAAGCAAGTGGAGTGAATTCATGATGACATTTGTTGACGTTGGCGTGAAAACAATTCATAATTTCATTTGAAAGTCGGCAATGTAAGGCTGAGGAGGTCGTTCATCCTTAATGTAGAGAATCTAATGGTCTTCTTGAGCCCAAAGTTGTACTTTTCAATTCAATTAACTTTACTTGCCAAGAACAAAGGAATCTTTGGCAGCTCGAATGAGACCAATGACTTTAACTGGGTCCTTTTCACCCTTTGCAAAGTCTTGGACACTACTTTCCATTACACGCATAAAAGGATTTGTCGCCAATTCCTCCTCAACTGTCGATGGTACTGTCACTTCACCTGCTTTTGTCTTTTCAATTGCCCACGCAAGCTTCTTTCTAACTTCTTCGTTCTGAGGCTCAACATGGACTGCAAAGCGCAAATTACTTGCCGTGTACTCGTGACCACAATAAATCTTCGTTTCTTTTGGCAGCTTTGCGACCACCTTGTTAAGAGCATAATGCATTTCGTCTGGACTTCCACTAAAGAATCGACCGCAACCCGCGATAAATAGTGTGTCGCCTGTAAATAGTGCATCTTGGCAATGATATAGCACGTGGTCCCGTGTATGGCATGGAGTATAATAAACCTTGACATTCAGGGTACCAAGCGTAATACTATCTTCTGTTGTTACTGTCTGCGTTTGAGCTTCTACAGCATTTCCTGGTCCACCAAATACTAGAATTTGACGGTTGTCATGGGTAGAAATAAGGTTCACAAGCTCCTGATTGCCACCTGCATGATCCCAATGCGAGTGAGTAGTTAGGATCATGGAAATGGTTACTTTCAATTCTTTTGCTCGCATAAAGACTTTTTTGGCATCTACAGGATCCACTGCCGCTGCCACATCTTAACAAGATTTTAGAAAGGAAAAGTATTACCAGAATGTATGAAATAGTGAGTGAGAGGACTTACGAGTAGTCGTGTCAATGAGCAGATAAGCAAAGTTATCCGAGAGCACAGGTATGATTTCCACCTGCATTTTGGGTTACACTTGCAAGAATCTGACTATTCTAACAAGGAGTGTCTTACTTCAGTGCAATTAGGACACATGACTGAAAAGTAACATTAAAAATGAATGACCGGACGGGCGTAAGCGATTCCTTCTTAATCACATATTATGGCAGGGAAGCCGTCACCAAGCTGACCTAATTAAGACTTCAGCACGCTATCTAGCGCAATGATTCTATACCAGGAAGCATATAATCTACGAGCGTGGTTTTTCCTTCTTCTCTTTGTAAAGAGCTAGCAGAGACACTCCCGAGACCTTGACAACTTTAAATCGCACACCAGGAATATCACCGACAGCGTGACCACGACGACCGAATCCAGAAATCAAAACTTCGTCATTCTCGTCAACATAGTTGAGACAACCATCACGTGGAACAAAGGCAGCAATTTTCTTCGAGTTTTTAATAAGCTGCACACGGCACGACTTACGAATAGCCGAGTTTGGCTGTTTGGCTTCAATGCCAATTTTTTCGAGGACAATGCCCTTTGCCATAGAAGAACCACCAAGCGGGTTAGCTTTCATAGCAGTCACGGAGTGGCTCTTGTTGTAGGACTTCTGTGCCCAGCGTTGAGTACGGCGGTGCACACGCAGCTTACGCGCACAGCGAATACCAGAAGGTTTATCTATACCGCATCATCAAATAGCATTCACGTTAGTTATAATTCCTTGCTCTATAGTCTCCATGCTCTGCATCTCCAGCTAGCCATTTTCAACTCTTCTCCTTTGTTGTGTCCTTGTGTGTCGTACAAGTTTACATCGAGTAAACCGCACGTTTTTACTGGAGATAATGCGAGTGTATGCAGCTTGACTGGGATGCGAGCATGAAGAGACAGCAGGTTGTTATAAGATAGACATACGTACGCTTGCCCATGTTTAAGTCGAAGGAATCTTCAGTGATTTACTCTTGAACTAGCGCTTTTGAATGAATGGAGGGCGCAAATAGATGAAGTACTGTAACTGACACGGACACATTAATAAAGGTGTAAATTTGCAAGGTAATATATTACATAGTAATATATTATTTACAAAACCAGCAAAAAAAGTAGTCAAAGTCATATTCAAAAAAGGAGTAAGATTTTAGGTATTTTATCGGAATGAAACTGGATTTTAATTATACCTATCAATGCGTCTGTTGTAATCAGAAACGCTGTAGCATGTCTAGAAGGGTTTCAAACGTATGCGACTTGATATCGTAGCTCTTGATAACGGGGATAGAATTTTGGATTTACACTAAAACTTGAGCAAAGCTCCAAGCATTTTAAATACATCCCTTTAAAGATGACCTGACTAGCATAGACGAGAAATTAACCTGTTCACTTAACCTTTAAGTCTGAATATATACTCAATTCTCCTCGTGACTGAATGTCGAGTGTGATTCTACTTATAAATTCAAGCAAATTCCTTCTTTGCAATTGTTCAAGGTCCAGATTTATTTAGCTGGTTTGTCACATGGACCCAAATATTAATATTGCGTACATTCCGTGTATTACACAGCTGGTGTAATAACCCAGTGGTGTGGCTACACAAGCAATCCTGCCAGGTTGTTGCCAGTAGTACTGCATATTACTATATTAGTTAGGTTTTGCTATATCAGTTTGGTACTACTGTATTAATTAGGAAAAGCTAGTTAAGATTATTAGGTTTTAGAAGTAGCGGATTGCGAGCTACTGGTTCTTGGAAAGAACGTATGGTCTGTGACCTTAGATTAGCTTCTTCTACGCAAAGATCTACGGTAGCCCTGCTGCACATGGTAGCACTTACACCTGATCCTCTGTGAGGATGAAGAAATACTCCTACTTGCCCCAGGGCATGCAGGACGGACTTTATAAGATGATGTCCCTGCTGGGTTTTGAGGGTGTGGAGCAGGCCATAAGCGCGCCCTTAGAGGCGTTTTCGAGTTAAATAATATTCATTTAGATAACTTAGAGCAGAACTGTCCGCGCCGACTGCGTATATGACCCCACCGTCGACGACGGATGATTTCATCCAACCCAGGCCACTCATGGTGAGCGTTAAGTTGAAAATAAGGATGGAGAAAATCTCCTGCTCTGGATAAGAGAGGCCGAGGCGGCTATGGCATCCGCCATGCTCCAAAATGAGCAACAGCGCGTGGTGTTAGCTATCTCCAAGCTCGGAGACCGAGCACGAGAATGGGCACTAACGTGCGGTGATTCGGTTGGCTGCGTTCTTCTCCTGGAAACAGCTAAAGCGTCAGTTCTGCGAGTGTTCTCGCAAGCCTAATCAGGCATATTGCGTGAGATCGCGTTACCTTGCTGCCCGACAGGACAAGAAGTACTTGGTTGACTTTGTCCAAGAGTTGAGAACTCGGATTCAGGTCTCCCCTAACTGCGGCGCGGATGCCCTGCTGGGGCAGAACTGAATTCTGATGTGCTTCAAAGAGGTAGAGCCCAGCCCCGAAGAGCTGCATGCTCTTGAACACGGGAAGCGCATGCGAGCCGGGCCTGCTAGTCGTGAAAGCAATTGTAAAGAGCTTTGAGAAGCCATGGGAAACCTTATCAATTCTGGTGCGTCGGGCAATTATGCTCGACGCTCCACGATCGAAGATTCAGCCGCATGCTGAGGCGCTGGAAGCGCGGTTGAGTGCCACCGTCACTGTTCGCTTAGTGACGATGACTTGTGTCACTGTGCTAAGGATCTCTGTGGACCTCGGTGTCAAGTTTCGACTCTGATAGCTTGGAACGCTGCTTAGTCTTAGACTTAGATACAAGGTATGACCATATCCTTGGTATGGCTTGGCTAAAAAACCAGCTTGACGTGAAATGGCACGTAAACCACTGAGCGCTGCGCAAGCATTGGAGTGATCGCTGCATGCCTCGGATGATGTCCGAGGCATCCTGGGCAAGACCCTTCTGATGCGTGTGGAGAGGCACGTTATCCACCGGATGAAAACTGCGGACATGGCAGCACTTCGTCAAACGTGTTAATAAAATCAAGGATCCGATGGAGCAGGGAGTGGGGACACTGGATGATGCCGAGTGCGTGATCCCATTGGTCTCGACGAGACGTAAAATCTCCATAGGCAGGAGACGGCGATGCCGTATGATATCTGCAAGACGCAGGGCGTCGACCCTGACCCAGG